TCAAAGATCAAATCTGAGTTAAAAGTTCTGACACGTTAAAGACTACATTTAAAACTCGATATGGTCATTATGAGTTCCTTGTAACTCCATTTGATGTGACGAATGCACCTGCCATTTTTATGGATAATATGAACCGAATATTCCAGCCTTATTTGGACTAGTTTATGGTGATATTCATTGATGATATTTTTCTTTATTCTCGTACTCCACATGAGCACGGGGAACATTTAAGAAATTTTCTATCAGTGCTGCAAGAGAAATGACTTTTTTCAAAGCTAAGTAAGTGTGAGTTTTGGATGACCGAAGTTAAGTTTCTTTCTCATATCATGTAACACCCCTATTTTTATATAACGAGAGTGTTTTTTGTTTTTTTTATAAGATATAACAAATCTTGTATTGTAAATTTATTTTAAATACACAACAACTAATTATAAAAGAAATTATATAAACATGATAGAACATAATACCATAATATATATATATATATATATATATATATATATATATATATATATATATATATATATATATATATATATATATATATATATATATATATATATATATATATATATATATATATATATATATATATATATATATATATATATATATATATATATATATATATATATATATATATATATATATATATATATATATATATATATATATATATATATATATATATATATATATATATATATATATATATATATATATATATATATATATATATATATATATATATATATATATATATATATATATATATATATATATATATATATATATATATATATATATATATATATATATATATATATATATATATATATATATATATATATATATATATATATATATATATATATATATATATATATATATATATATATATATATATATATATATATATGACGAAGCGTCTACAAACATAAGCTGCAAGCAGTAGTTAGAATATAATCCATAATCCATAAAATAGTTGAAAAGTCCTCGGCAGACACTCACGCAAGAGAGCTTCCCCAAGGAAAAAATTTCCAACCATTCGTAGTAGAAAGTCCCCTGGTGCCTGCCATATAACATCACAATATTCCTACCACTTAGATACACTACTCCTTAGTTAAACTGATCAGAACCTAATCGAAACCATAATATTCACCCGCCCCAGCTTCACATAACCCACTACAATCGCTAGTCAAAGTGTGGTTAGATCCATTGTCGCTATCTCCACTCTAAAAATCATGCTCTAAGGGGTTGTTAGTATCATCATCTTCTCCCTTACCCACATCTAACTCCAAGGGTGGAACACATGTCGTGGAAATGTAAGGGGAGCTTGTCTACAGTAAATTTATCACAAGTGAACGCCGGGGAGAAACCTAAGGACGTCTCTAAGTCTAGAAGAGGCTGGGGAATATCATGAAAGAAAGATTCTCCTCCCATGGCAGAGACATGTGATAGCCCAGGTCGGGCTAAGGGGGGGGGGTGTCAGCAATCCAAAACGATCAATCACTCCAGAAATGAAACTGGAGATTATCAAGTATACTGGGATTTGGAAGGAAAAAATTTCCAACCATTCGTAGTAGAAAGTCCCGTGGTGCCTGCCATATAACATCACAATATTCCTACCACTTAGATACACTACTCCTTAGTTAAACTGATCAGAACCTAATCGAAACCATAATATTCACCCGCCCCAGCTTCACATAACCACTACAATCGCTAGTCAAAGTGTGGTTAGATCCATTATCGCTATCTCCACTCTAAAAATCATGCTCTAAGGGGTTGTTAGTATCATCATCTTCTCCCTTACCCACATCTAACTCCAAGGGTGGAACACATCTCGTGGAAATGTAAGGGAGCTTGTCTACGGTAAATTTATCACAAGTGAACGCCAGGGAGAAACCTAAGGACATCTCTAAGTCTAGAAGAGGCTTGGGAATATCATGAAAGAAAGACTCTCCTCCCATGGCAGAGACATGTGATAGCCCAGGTCGGGCTAAAGGGGGGTGTCAGCAATCCAAACGATCAATCACTCCAGAAATGAAACTAGAGATTATCAAGTATACTGGGATCTGGAAGGTGATAGTCCTTCGGGAATACATGGTCTTCGGATACATGCCATTGATAGTAGTAGTCTCGAGTACGTTCTCGATGAACGAGACTTGTCCGAGGGCTGAGTCAAACCCCCAAGATGTCTCGATCCATTCTTCGTGAAAGGTGAAGCCTATCGTCTTCGAAGGTGGTAGTTCCTCACGTCTCGGAAAAATCATGACCTAATGGCATATTCGCCCACACATCCACTGAAAAGGTCATTAATCGAAAAATAAAAAATATACAAGAGTGAAGCAGCAAGCATAAATAGAGCAGATATTATACATGGCTAATGAACTCATTTTAACACATGTATATAATTATTTACAAAGATAATACTTATGGCATCAATAAGACTTATTTCCTTATGTAATGCCTATATGCCGATGCACATGATTCTGGAATA